CTATGGTTTAATAACAACCTTGGATTACAAACATGATTTGAACTTTCTGGATACAAACAAACTATTAATTTAAAGCCCACTCTAATTTGTATCCAATGGAAAACTGCTATTAGTTGAAAACAGCAAATGTTTCTCATCTTTTCCCCAAAGTCATGCCAGAATAGCATAAGTAGTGTGGGAAAGTCTAGAAGTCTGAATCCTGTTGATGTACTACTAAATTAAAGATTGTGTTAGGCATGAATGAAGCCACTGAATTAATGAGACAAGCAAGATTTGAAAGAAAGCCACTTAGTTCACAGAATAGAACATCAACCAATAAAGATCAACTGCTCTCATCACATTCCTCAATAATTATATAATTCTGTTTATACTTACAAAGAAAGGAATCCACTGACTTTGAGAGGGCTTGTTTATATATGCTTATAGGATTGTTTGATTTTTTTTCTCCTAATCTCTTAAAAATACAGTAAAAGTAAGCTAAGAAACAAGTTTTTGGCAATTAGATTAACTGTTGTACTTACCGGTTGAAGAAGCAAGCAACTATAGTCCCAGCCACAGTCATTTGCTGACATGCTAGAATAAATTCACTTGTCCAGAGAAGCCCCAGCAAATGATACCACCACATGTAGCGGATTCCAAATCGAATTTTGTATTTCACTTGGCCTCCTGAAATGACTTGCGGACTGCCTATAAATTTAAGGCACAAAGAATAGAAATCAATATTCTTCTACTGTCCTTTTTTAAGCTTATTCAGCAGTTCTTCAACTGACTGTTTATAGTATTTTAGAAACAATTTATAATGAAAATATTTGAAACTGATTATAGATAAAAAAAATTAAGACGATAAAAATTAATAAAAAGATAAATGTCAGACTAAAACACGATGTTTATGCTAAAATAAAAAATAAAAACTATGGAAAGGTTAAAAAAAAGGAACAAAGTGCAGCCACAAAATGTTTAAGTTACATCAAAATGACTACAACTATAAACTTTTAAAACACTGAGACAGCTTTGTATATACAGGTAGTCCTCTTATAACAATTACAATTGTGACTAGCAACTCCATTTTATTAGGCGAAATGGTCGCTAAGTGAAACAGCAACCATGCCTATGATCTTAATGCAGCTTTTCTTTGCTTTACAGACCAGTGAAGGTCATAAATGTGAGGATTCATCACAAAGTTACTTTTTCCTTACTATAGTAACTGCGAAGTCACTAAACAAAACAGCCATTAAATAAGAACTGCCTGTATCAATTATAACTTAAGGTATTAGGTATAGCTAACATGAAGCTCAACATTCCATGGAGAGAAAACAAAGACTTATAAAATTAAACAAATTTCAAAAGCAGACAAGAATATGCATCTATACTAGAAAATACATACATACAGAGAAAAGGATAATGTATTTATGTTGTACTTTTTTTTCTGAATACCTTATCCTAGGAAAGAAATGCAAAACAAACAAGGAAACTTTCTGATAGATCTAGTGGCTGTTACTGTTCTAACAATTTCAGACATTAACATGTCCATTATGAATTAGAACTCTAACTGCTTCTAAATGGATGGCTGGGCAGGGACTGAAAGAGAAAAAACTTTATAAGTATTCTAAGTGAAGCACATTGTCTAGGAAATATGTGACCTTCAAATCACACTCCTACATATAAAGGCGAGCTAGCTGTCTTTTCAAGGTTATAGAAAGTGTTTCCTTGTAACCTAACAACACATTAGCTAAGGTCAGCTAAAGAAAAACTGCACACGACCATTGATAATGCCAATTTTCTTTTTCGGTCACACACATCTACTAATCTGTATTTCCATATTAAAGTGACAGAACACAATAAATAGTGTTATATAGCCATTTTATAATATCTACTAGAGGTTTAAGTGGTAGAACATAAAGAGCAGCTTTTAATGTTAGATTTCAGAACCCCCAATGGTTTGGCTTAGATTCTCATACAAGAAGCAAATCACATCCATTAGGTTTGTGGCACTAAATCCAGAGCTACTTGAATCCTGAAACCTAAACCAGCATCATAATTAGATTTGGATTGGATCAGAGCAAGGTCACTTGAAGATAAGGCTCATATCCCACCAAATGACTAGCATTGTGGATCAAAGTCCACATTTTTTTTTCAGGAGGATGGTATCTGCCAGGGACACCTACATGGATATAGGTTTCACTGTAATATGGAAAATAAATGTCCATGCTATTTTACAAATCACCGTTTTCATTATCTTAATAATTCCCATCTTGTAATAAAATTAATTATAATGCTTCACTTCAATCCATAGAGTATTCTAGAGTAATTTTTAAATATCAACAAATAATTTCCCTTGTGGCTTTTATTCTTGCAGAATGGTTTTATTATTTAAATTTGCTATTTAAATCCTAGCATTGGCATTCCTTTTGGAAAGGGACATAGCGGCAGCATATAAAACTAACCTGCATCGATAGTACCGTGTTTTCCTGAAAATAAGACCCTGTTTTATATTTTTTTGAACCCTGAAATAAGCGCTTGGCTTTATTGCCATGCGCTCAAAAGCCCTATTGGGCTTATTATCAGGGATGTCTTATTTTGGGAAAACAAGGTACATCAACTTCTATTTTACACAATGTAATTTTAACCAGCTGGGGAAAATGAGGACAACTTCAGATAGCAGAAAAAATACTAATAGGTGTATCTGTTCAACTGCCAAGTTTTGATAACAGAAGAGCATCATTGTGACTTTATCCTTCAATGTTCTTCTTTTTTTTTTTTTATTTGGGAAGGTTTGGGGATATATCTACATCACCTGAATAGTTTTTCAATTACTTTTTCATTTTTAAGTTTTGCAACTAGAAACAAAATTAAGTAATAATTGTTCCTTCGCACTAAAGAGGCACTTAGTTGGCTGTTAATTTTTGCATTGATATTTTATTCTCATACAATTGTACTCATACTAATCCTTACCTTATATATGATCTGTAGACTTCTAACCCTCTCCTTTATTTCCATAGTCGAAACAAAATACTGCCTTATCAGGTGTATTAAATCATACAATTAAAATTAATAAGTTTGCTTAATTCAAGCAATACTATACATTTTGAAGAAGTACAGGTTCATCAGTTGGCTCAAGACCAGTGGTGGGATTCAGCCAGTTCGCACCACTTTGGGAGAACCAGTTGTTAACTTTCTTTCTTTTTTTTTTTTAATTTTTTTTTAATTGAGTTTTAAACAGAGATATAAAGACAATACAAAAAATACAAAGACATTACAAAGACAAACGAGTTCCCACCACCAACCTACCCACACCATACTTTACATATATGTTTTGATCATCATCAGAATATATATTGCTTTATAAGTTAATATATAAGTAATACATTGTCAATTCAGATGTTTTAGATTAGAAATAATCTTGCATCTCCTCTTTATTTATTTATTTCCGGTTTTATTTTTTCTACCCTATTTTCTTTCATCTATATTTGTACTGATTTTCTTTTCCAGCCATTGATACCACTGGTGCCACACAAGATAGAATTCACTTTCTTCTTTGTTGTTAACTTTCTGAGCAGTTTGCTGAACTGGTTGTTGGAAGAAATCATTAGGGAAGAGAACTGATTTTTAAATTATTTGAATCCCACCACTGCTCAAAACCATAACCACCCAAGCCTCCTTAATTGCAACTATTTTCTCTTTTTGTAGGAAATGCTGTTTTTATCTTAAGGTCAAATAACAGGAGACCAAGAGAAGTAAATACACATGGCTAGGATATGCTGTTCATATAATTACAACTTAAGCCAATCTATATTAATCAGGTAACAATGTAGGGTTTAGCTTGACTGGTTCTAGATCCACAGTAGAGTATTTTGCAATTCTAGAAAACAAAATAGCTTGCGCAACACTGATGCACAAACATATTTACGCACCTTGGGACAATTTTAATAACTTTTGATCATCAGGGGAAAACGATATATTTATGAAGCAAAGAGAATTGATGTAACATTACTGACCTGCAGTTCCTAAGCTAAGGAGCACAGCCACCCAGTACATCCAGAATAAAATAAGTATTACAAATGTCCAAACAGGCTGAAAATACAAAAAGGGGGCTTTGCCAATTATTTTATTGGCAGCCTGAAAGAGCTGAATAATCAAGTGAATCTTCTTCCTTAATAACACTATCAAGACAATTAGAATCACCTATAAAAAGAAAAATAATGCATTAGAATGTTTTTATTACCAAATGAGAATGAAGTCTAGGAACTGTACTTAATTTTTCATTTGTCCATTAACCAAATAATTTTGAGATGGGTATCTTACAAATCTACATTATAAATGCACCAACAGAGAGATAAACTTTTCAATACCATTATCAGTTTTGCACCATACCTCTGCCCAAGAAAATGTGAAAAAGATACACTGTGAAAACCATTGATTCTATAGAGAAAAGGCTCAAATATAACTTCAACAAATGAGTATGTTTTGTTAGATACTTCTTTTTTTAAAGTTTTCTTACTGATCTAAATATAAATAGCTACAATTATACAGCAGGAAATTATTGTTAATGTTAATGCAGCTGTCTTCCTTGAGATATCTGCTGCCCCCTTGTGCCAGCAACTGGATATAGTGGTTAATGAGGCAAAATCATTGCTACTACTGACGCTTGGGGCCTACAAATCTCTATTAATTGAATCTGATGATGGACACAAAAGCCTAATTCACATTGGTACAATCCACAAGTGCAGCACCTGTGTGTTTTCTCTCTATACAACTTAAATATGTCCTATTCCATTGTACCCTGACATTCGTTAACTGGTAGAATCAAGTAATTTGATTTTAAAAATGAATACATTCCTAGCCATATTACTACAAGGTTTGAGTCAGTTGTGTACAGTGTATTTTACAAATACAAATAAAGTATCCATAAAATATTAGTGATAATATACATAGATGCCTTACCACAATAACTGTAGATATAATAGAAAGTCCATATAATAATTTCATATTTTCTTTTTCAGTTTCTAATTCTATGCTGAGTCCGCTGCTGTTATTGTAATAAAGCCACCACATAACACCTGAGACAACTAGAACAAACACAGAAATCCAGCAATGTTTATTTAATTTAAAAGATAAAAGAGCAGCACTGGCATATTAAGCTTATCATCAAGCATTTACTCAGCATGATTCAACTGCAGTTCCAAAGAGACTAAAAAATTAGGTTGATACAAAAAAAGGTAACACAAACTAAAATTCTACTCTAGTTTGCATTTTTGTGAGACAATAATGTTGATGCATATTACCTTCTATTCCAATTACCCGCTAAGGATGTTTGATTGTAACTGGGTTCTTATGAAGGCACATGGGTTTGTTATCTCCTTGGAGCAGGGGTGTCAAACTCGCGGCCCGTGGCCCGGATGCATCACACACTGGCCACACCCAGTTTAGTAAAGGGGAAAAAAGTCACGATACGTCATGTGATGACGTGAGTTTGACACCCCTGCCTTAGAGAATCTTCAGCCAAGGAATTTCTATCATCAGGATCTAGAAGAAGATGCTTTTCTGCCATGGTTCCCGCCCTCTGGAACATCTTGCCCCACAAAGTCAGATCTGCTCCTCCCCTTTTGGCCTTGAAAACTTGGTTGTGCCAGCTAGCCTGGAGCCCTAATTGGGGTGTGGCATTTTGGAGGTGGCTAATGGAGTAGATAACATCTACTCTTCCCTGTACATATGTCAGCCTTGGAAGCCATATTAGGCTGGAAGCTTCAATGCTGCCACCTCCTCATGTGTGGGAAAGTAGGAGGGGGGATTTAGGAGAGGGGAATTAGTAGACGTAATAGCATTCTTCCTATCGGTCAAGGTCAGGGTGATCCAGCATCTGGAGGAGGAGGATCAGGTGCTGGGTCGAGGTGGAATGGACGTTGATTGGAGCATGTCATCGATTGAGGAGAAAGGGGGTGGTTTTGGAAGCTTTGTATTTCTGAAGGAAAGCCCGGGCTTTTCAGATTCGGGTTTTCCCAGATGTACCAGTTTACCTATTTCTAGTAAAGAGAACTTTGGAAAATGCCTGCTTCCGCGTCTTTACTGGGAGTCAGGGGTTTTCTGGAACGCTGACAACATACTTTGCTCCCTCTCTCTCCATCCTGTTTAATTTTATTTTGATTAAATTTTTAAATTTAAGCTCTTCATGTATTGTTTTAATATTTTATAGTGCATTTTAATCAATGCCTGTAAGCTACCTAGAGTCACCTTTGGCAAGGTGGGTGGCATAGTTTAATAATAAATAATGCCGGTTACAGATCATTCTTGAGTGATAGAAAGATTGTTGGAAAGATGGTAGGAAGAACCAATAACTGGTTTAAATGAAAATCAAAAACAACTTTTTGAGAGGAAACTTTAGGCAGAAAATCATTTCCTCTCTTTAAACTTGCAAAGCTCATGAGTTTCAGTAAAACATTTTTTCTCTGTTTCCTATAGTTCTTATTGTAATATGTGGTAGAATTAGGTAAGATTTCAGGTTCTTGGTAATGTAGCATGCTTTTTGGATGCTGAAAAAGCTGATCTATTACTCCACAATTTGGCAATAAGGGAGAGGTTCAATTTCTGCCCCCCGCCTCCATTTTATTTCATAGAACAGGGCGATCTATCCACAGTGATAGCCAAAGACTTATCTTATCCTGCATTCTAAGAGATAGGACAGTCACTTGTCTTGAATGGTGGAGCAAGGGGTTGGACTAGAAGAGGTCTTCAGGGTTTGTTTTTTTGTAAAATAGAACAAAATAAATATATAAATATATATATATAAATAAAAAGTGAAATAAATAGCTTGGTATCTGGAATTTTATTTCACTTTTGCACTTCATTCATTAATTTATTTTTCTTTCCACATATATTTGTCTTTTGGAATATAGGTACTTTTTACTAATTCTCTCCACCACCACCCTGCACTCTGAAAAACACTTACCATATTTTTCAGACTATAAGACACACTTTCCCCCACACAAAAAAGTGGGCAGAAATATCTATGTCTCTTACAGACCAAATACAGCTCTGTTTTTGGCCTCCCGAAACCATCACCCCTCCCCACAGCATCCCTTTTTTGGCAAAAACAGGACGAGTTAAGGTTTTGGGAGGCCTGCAGAGTGCTCTTGGGGTCTGGGGAGGGTAAAAATGGGATACGGGGGGGGGAGGTCGAGAGATAAAAACAGGCCTGTTTTTTGCAAAAACAAGTCATTTTTTGGTGAAAACAGGACAAATGAAGGGTTTGGGAGGCCTGCAGAGTGCTCCTGGGGGCTGGGGAGGGCAAAAGCAAGATGTGTGGTGGTTCAGGCAGCCAAAAACAGGTCCGTTTTTTGCAAAAGCGGGACACACAGATGGTTTGGGAGGCCTGCAGAGTGCTCCTGGGGGCCAGGGAGGGCAAAAACCAGACACATGGAGGCCAAAACTATTTTTTTTTCTTGTTTTCCTCTTTGAAATCTAGATGCATCTTATACTCCAGTGCATCTTATAGTCTGAAAAATATGGTATGTTAAAACATGTTCAAAAGAGTCAGGAATGCCTGATCAAATAATTAAGAAGAGAGCAAGAGTTCTCTAAGTTTTCTTATGCTTCTGAGTCCCTTCAGATATCAGAGACTTTCATATTCAACGTACATGTTTCAGTACCAACCTACGAATCCTATTGAAGTTATTTTTCATTTGCTAGTAAACTAGGTGTCAGAAGAATCAGATCTATTTTTTCATTGAATTGCTTTATTTATTAGTGGTTTTTGAATGAAATATAGAAAGAACCATGAATGTTCAATTTTTTCCCCCCTGCAAGTAGCTCTTTACATTGTAAGATTTCTGATTATGTTTTTCAGGATATGGGAGATTTTTATCAGGATGAAAGGAAGTGAAAAGCCCTCATGTTAATCTATAGCTGATAAAACAATTTGGCATGAAGGTCAGTTTTACTAAATTGTAAATTAAATTATAATTATAAATACTTACATAATAATCCAAATACAAACAGTGTAAGAAAAATATGGACCACGAGCATATTGATGCATCTGAAGGCTAACATCATTAGGGCAGACAAAACTGCAATGGAAGTAATAGAATAGACTGCTTATTTTAACAAGCTAATTAAGTGGAGTACATGGAAACTTTCTTTGTATCTAGAGATGGAAATTACATTCCTTGCCAATTTAATTGCCAAATATTACAGGATCCAACGGCAGCTTCACTGTGCACATGCTGTCTTTGATATTAACAATAAATTCTATATATCCTCATGCAGGTCTTATCACTTTGAGATAGAAATTAATGCAATTTCTCTTCCAATTCAGTACCATGTTTTTATTTAGATTCTATTATACTCATTATTGTTTATTTTTAAGGATACATGAACAACTTTCCAATTTTCTTATGCTGTTTATTTTATTTTCATTGCATTTGCAGAATTATTTTCCTCTTTGTAAAAACTGAATTACATACTGTAATTTTAAAATATCATGTATTAATCTTTCTGAATCAACAAAAAGTGTACATGATAATCATTCATAAGGTGCATATGTGTCTGTAAGAATCATGTGAGTGTGTATTTTCATTACCAGATTATTAATTGCTAAATTCTGAAAGAAAGTAAAAGACATAATTTAGAAAAAGGGCCAGAATTCATAATATTTTAATAATGATTAAACTACAGGTAGTCATTGTTTACTAACAATAACTGGGGCTGAGAATTCTAACAAATGCGATCATAAAGTTCACCATCACATGATTCCATTAACCTATGATAGCTGCTATTAAGTGAATCCCGTCTCTCATATCTGATAGTCATTTTGTGACCTCCTGTTGCCTTCCCCCTTGTTGGAAGCCAGCAAATGGTGTTCACGTAATCATGGGACTCTGTGACCACTATAATTGTGAGTTGGTTGCCAAGAACCTGAATCGTATTACTGTAAGGATGCTGCAATGCCTGCAACCATGAAGACCTGTTCTAAGTCCCCCTCATTCATCACTGTAACTTCAAATAGTCACTAAACAAGTGACCGTTAACTGAGAACTACCTGTATTTTCTTTCTTGAAAAACAAGCATTTTAAAAACACAAGGCCTAGTTCTTAGGAGAATTCTTATTATTAAGAAACTTTTGTTTTTTATTAATCATATCAATTAATATTGAGATAAATGTGTTTTCTTACTTTACTTTGATATTTATATTGAATATCAAACTACTAAATGGAACTAAATGCTCATAAGCACTTCAAATTTATACCCCAATTTCATTTGCTGCTCAATTCTGAATGTGTTAAAACACGGTGTCAAACTCTCAGTGTCACGTTGCCATCATGTGACATTTTGCAATGTTCCCATTCGTGGAGCTGGGATGGGCATGGCCTGTGTGTGGTGCATCCAGCCCGCGGGCCGCCAATTTGACACCCCTGTGTTAGAATGAAATTTTTTGAGTACCGGTAATAATTATCTTGCACACCAGAGGTGGTATTCAGCCGGTTTGCACCGGTTCACGTGAACAGTTGGTGGAAATTTGACCAAGGTTGCCGAACCAGTAGCAATGGCCAGCTGGCCACACCCCCAAACCGGTCCCCCGTTCACTTGCCCCGCCATGTTCATCGCCACCATGTGCATCCCATTGCCTTGCAAGTCCAATGGGATGCGCATTCGCAAAGAACATGGTGGCGACCGCAGCAGCTTTTTCCGGGACCTCTGATACTTTTCGGCGGCCTGCAGCCAGCCACCGCCTCTTTGAGAGCTGCTTTCCAGCAGCAGCGGCTGGCTGGTGGCCGCCGAAAACTTTGGTCAGCTTGCCTTCTGGACTCTGGACCAGCTGCTGTGGAAAGTAAGCAGCCCGAACAGAGGTGGTGGTGGGGGAGAAAGTGGGGCTAGGGCCGGGGCCGCTAAAGGAAGGGAAACGGGGGTGACTGGCAAAGGGAGGGTGGGAGTAGATAGCTGGAAATTCTGAAAAATTTCCTACCTTTTCCTGTTGGCGTGGCTAGGTTGGGGGGGGGGTTATGTGACTGAGTGGGTATGGGTGACGTCAAATTGGCCATGCCCACTCAGTCATATGTCCCACACCTAGCCAC